GAGTTTTTTTTAAAATATCTTGTAAGGTACAAAAAAAATGATATATGTATAAAATGAAAATAGTGTAGTGCGTGTTCGTGTAGTAACTCCAAAAAGTTCGTCAAAAATAAAAAATCTCTTTAACCGGTGAGTGTCCGGGTCGAACTCAGGGAATATGCGAATATCCTATATTTAATTAGAAAAAGTGCAATGAGTTAATGCAATCGAAGAAACTGAAAAGATAAATTGCGGAAATTAAATCTAACTAAAAAGCGATAAAATATATGTATCTCGAAAAGGATGAAGCGAGGCGTTTGTATCTGACTTTTGCGTTCCTTAATGGCTAGATTTCCATGGATGAAATGAGCGGGATGACGATAGCGTGATAGCGAAAAATATATGTATAATTGCGAGGCGGCACAGAGAAATGAACGTGATCGCATTTGCTCGCTTAAGCCGATTCTCGACTCGGTTGGTACTTGATCTTGGAGGATTTACAACGAGGCTTCAGCGACACCCGGCGAAGAACATTATAAGCAAGAAACCCTACTGTCACTAGGAATCTCTGTGACCCAATAGACCCCCGCCTATGCCCCATGAATTATTCTTCCAACCGTTCCGCTAGTGGCTCTACCCCTTTTATTACCTCTCTTTAATCAAAATCGAATTCAGAACAGCAACTAAGCAGGTCGACAAGGCTCCCGCGTACTTAGCTACGTTGAATTACCCGGAAACCGCTTTTGGCGCATAACAGGGCTGAAATAGTCGATTCTTCTATCGCCCTTCCGCAACCTTGTCGAAATCCAACTTGAACAATTCAAATTGAACATGGAATTTTTGGGTGAAGGTGAGGTGGAGAAATATGATAGGAATTTTACTAGCTAAAATAATATGCTGAAATTAAAAGAAAAAGGGGGAGAAAATCAGTTTGCTCGCGACACAAAACAGAAAATCTCGTATTATTAAACTAGATAAAAATACGGAAGAAAAGAAAATGGAGAAAATGGAATGTATATTATTGTGTGTATATGGTGTATATGTATATATATATCTATGGTGTATCTATATCTATCTATGGTCTATATCTATATATATATGGTACAATAATAGGGGATATTTATAGGGGAAAAGCTTCTACAAGCTTGACGGTTACAACCGTCAATAAATAACTATTTCTAAAAATAACTACTAACTACCTCTAAAAATAACCATAAATAACTAACTCTAAAAATAACTACTAATATAACTACTAATAACTACCTATTTTCTAGAAGGTTCTAGAATAAAAATTACACAAAAATAGCCAAAAATTGGCTAAAAAGTAGTGCAGGATTTTAATTAAGGGAGCTGGGAGAGTGTAGTAAATGCAGGAGCTGAGGGTGCAGGAGACATAAATGCAGCAGAATTCTGTGCAGAAATTATTGTGGCGGCGCAGTAAATGCACTGCTGACCAGCGGCAATAAATGCAGCGAGAATTAATGCAGCCGCCGCTTCGCTCACTTCCACGTATGGCTTTCCGCTCCGCTCATATTTTCGTGTCAGCCGCCGCTTGAATTCCGTGTTAGCCGCCGCTTCGCTTTCCGCGCTCGCTTGCCTTCCGCGCCAGCCGTCGCTTGCCTTCCGTGCGGCCGTCGCTTGTCTTCCGCGCTCATAAATACAGCCGCCGCTCGCCTTCCGCGCTCGCTTGCCTTCCGCGCTTGCGCACTCCTATGTAGCCGCCGCTTGTCTTCCGTGCTCGGTTGACTTTGACTTTCGCGCGTTGACTTTCTTGCGTTGACCGTTGACTTTTGTTGACTTTCACGCCGGTGACTTTTTTTCGCTTCTGAAGCCATTTTTTTCACTTTTTAAGGCCAGTTTTGGGCTCCCATATCAGTTTTCAAGCATTATTTCACCTATATAAATAATGAACATCTTATAAATATTTCTTTAAATAAATAATACTTATTAAATAAAATTAATTTAGTTAAAATTAAATACTTAAATAGCACATAAATAATGCCAAAATATATAATTCAAGAAACACATCAATTAATTTAATTTATACACCAAAATAATTATAAATTGCACTTAAAAACTAATAATTTAATATTATACAAACAAGATGAAATGAATACAATTATTAGAATAAATTAACATAAATGATATCAAAATTTGACATAAATAAATAAATAATTAACTAAATATAAGCTATAAAATATGGCAAATTCAAGAGTTATCAATGTCCATAGGTGACACTGTTGACATAGTAAGGGTTTTTGTTACATCTGCTACTGTTCCGGAGGCTGCGCTTATTCTACGAACAACCTCCAGAGCACAAACACTCGGTGAGGTTGTCCGCGCCGAGCCAATCGACTGGACATTTAAAGATGTACGCAACCACATTTACAAGATTTTCTATTGGATTACAACTTAACTATCTCACAAATAAATTCTTATATAATTTTGCACAATGTTGGCAGCTTGTTCGTCGCATGTAACTACGGTGTACGGCCACTTTGACTGTGCATGGGGCGTTGCAGCATGGCACGTGATTCTATGATGATTGACGTTTGTTTGTGGATTGATGCTAACTGAGTCCTTTATGTTGGTTGAACTTGCTGTCTCTGCTATATTTTGTGTGTTTGTTGCTACGCTTTGCCATATATGTTAGGCTATATTGCGAAATATTTATGTTTCTACACAGTGCGTACTTGCTACAACTTATGGTGATACATAATTGCCGTAATATTTCCATATTTTGTAATGTCATTTGGCAGTATTTTCTCACATCGTACAAGTTTTTCGGTCCCGAAACCATTTTTTTTAGGTTATTATTGAAAAAATAAGGAAATCTTTTTCGATACAATAAATTGGTCGTTACAAATACTGGTACATAAAATATTAACTAGGTTTCTGAAAACCAACTATTGTAACGAATTATTACTGTAACAAAAGCCGTTACAAGTGGATAAGCGTTTATTGTAACGATTCTTTTATAACGATAAATGGCCGCTACAAATACATCGAAAGTACAATCATAGCGTTACAAACATTGTTACAATAAATGCGTTGACCATCTATTTTTTGTTGCGGAAAAAGTCAGTACAGAGACTTTTTGTAACTCAAGTATATGCACCGGTTAAAATCCGGTACAAAATCGTTACAAATAGCTTTTTTACCAAAAAATGGCCATTTGTAGCGGTCATTGACCATTTTTTTGGTAGTGGGTATAATTAGTAAATAATTAAAAATATATTAGTAAAAATAAATACAATACAATAAAAATAACTATAGATTAAGATTAAGATAAATTATTTAAAATGTAATTAAAGTGTAGTTAAACAAATTATAAATTACAAATTTTAAAATGTAATTAAAGTGTATAATTCTTTTTAAAAAAGAAAAATGACATAATATGTAGGACGAACGAAAATAAAAAATGTGACATGATATATGAGACGAAATGAGTAATACTTTTTATTATATTATTTAATAATTATTTCAATATATTTCTATTTTTGGTAAGGTATGATTTTATTTTTACAAATACAATAAAATTATTGAAATTATTAAATTATTTTTACATATCTATTTTTATTTGAAAAAATAAATCTTATTTATTTATATATACTATATAATTATTATATTAAAAATGAGTAAAATGAAATAAATTTATTGATAATTAATAACAAAAATATCTCAAAAAATTTATTCACCAATAGAAACACTAAATATTTTAAAAATCCTTATTCAGTAATGGACTAAGGAGATACCTTTCAACAAAACATATAAAATATATCTTATTGTTATTTCATATGTAAATAATTAATACCGAATAGTTATTTTACCAAATAGTCTAATACAAATAATTAATATATCCCCTCAATCAAACTAATAGCCAAAGTTAATTGTTAAATACTCCTTGATATTTTGAAAAAAAAAAAAAACATAACTACGAATATATTTGTTTGTAGAATTTTAGTTATATTTTGTTATTCTAATTTTTTTTTAAAAAAAAAAATATCAAATCAAATATTTATTTATTTATTATACTTCACAATTATTAATTCCACCTGTACCATTAAATTTTTCTTTTATAGAATATTACCGATTCCTTTTTCTTTTTTTTTTAAATAGAAAAAAACTTTATCAACAAATTATATACATTAAAATTAAAATGTTGATTGGAAGAGAGCATCCAATAGTGTCTATCAACTTATTGGATAGTGGACCACTTTGGATGGGTATTTCAAACAGTTTGAAATTTTTTTTGTGTCCGGACACGAGGTCCCACCAAGAACGTTTTCTAAAACTCTTTGACCCCCGAATTTTGAGTATCCTGAATTTGGGCAACCGGCCGTGGAAGCTTTTACTCGAGGGGGTAATAGAGAGAAAAAGAAATTTATGAAAATCAAACTCTTTCTTTGGGCCACATAGAAGCCCAATATTTGTACCAATTGGGTTTTCCTGTCTGAATCAATGTCTGAATCAATGTGCCGTAGAAATTAAGTTTATTTTCAAAATAATATTGAAGCCCAATATTTGTACCAATTCTTTTTTTTTTTTATTTGATCCGCACTCATTTTTGACAATGTGTATATTGATGTGATATTATTATATGATTGTACATAACAATGTAATAAGAAAATTTAAAAGAGAAATTTTGAGGTGGTTAGCAAATATACCAAGCAGATATCTATCAATTTTCCATCACATACTTATTGGTTCTTAGAAGTCAATCAAAACAAAAGGGTCATCATTCCATCGCAAGAAGCAAGTTAAAAAACCCAAGTTAAAAAATATGAAAACACACTATTGACTGAAGCTTATTGGGGTGATTTATGATTGGAAGATTTGTACTCCAATATTTATGCTTTATAACATTCTTTGTCTGTCAATTCTCATGATAACTTGAATGAAAACATTATAAAGCCACCATCATTAACCAATAGTAATAAACCAAAATTTCTTTGAAGATGAAAATTCAATCTTAGCATATCAAAAGGAAAAGGCTTTAAAACCAAAATAGAGACATGATAGCGTTGATGTGGTTTTGGAATGAACCTTGCACTATTTTCGAAAAATGTCATACATGTAAAGGGTATCTATTTCCTACAAAAGATCAACAAATTTCAATCAGGTAAAGATAACAGAAACCTCAGATATACAATAAACGATAGAAGCAAAAAATAAGGCCTTTCATTCCACTGCATATCCGAAAGCACTGCAAGACTTGAAACAATTATGTGCAACACAAATCAGCAAAAATTCATTTGCCTCTCAAAGATATTTGTAGTATAATGCATTATTAGTATTTATTTAACAAGGAAATATATAGTAGAGCGAAATAAATATAATTTACAAATTTATCATTAATAACATAACCCATTGATAACATATAGTAATGTAAATATAATTTGAGGGTATATCATTAATAACACAATTCATTGGTCGATAACATAAAGCCATCAAAATTACATTAAGCACTACATAGATGATTACAAATTTTCAAAGTTCACTGTTTGGTCACTGCCTACATGGAAAGTAACTGGCTTATCATTGAGACAACGACAACGAGAAAATCTCTTTCTACCGGGAATTCAACAAGTTTTTGTGCGACAAAGAAATAAAATATGTGCTTCAATGGATTTGACTAAGGTAGACCCTAAAGGCTTATTCTCTTGGAAAAGATCTTTGCCAAGAAGAATTAAATCCACATAGCCTTCAAAATTAAATAATAGCTTAGATAAAAGAATAAACTCACCAAGAAATTACAAGTCACATTACAACATTTCTTTAGAGATGTAGAAGACAATAGCTTAAGATACATTAACACACATAACATTAGAAATTGCATAACAAAATATATAAAAGAGCATGAATACTTGTACAAACAGAAGCCAGATAAAAACAATCCTAACTCGGCCTCCCATGCTTCCAATTAAACAGCAATCACCGAAACAGATACATGTGAATATGCTAAGAAGAGCACTGGACTCTAAACCTATTTTTTTTTACCAACAATTGAGAAAATATCCATGATGGCAATCCATGGCAGTTAATATTCTTAACACATTGTATCTTTGCTACAACTTTAAGTTCATAGAGAAAAACAAGAAATAACAAAATTGATCTCATATAACCACTTCAATTTAAACCAAGTTTCCCAAAGGCACCTTCAGAACCCATACCAATAAGATAAAATCTGTAAATAATTTGAAGTATTGATCTGCTAAATATCCCAAGCAAATAAGATTAAATCTTACAATATATGAAGTTTTGTTGTTTTAGGCAAAAGTACTCTTGACAACTGCAAAACTTGTCTGTCCATTCCACAGAAATTGAACATGAATTAGCTAGCATTCCCTTCTGGCCAAGAAAGGGGTAGCAAACATATTACAAACCACAATAACTATTATCACAAACCAAATACACCCTAATCAACAAACGAGAGAAACAAAAAAGATATCACCTAAAAGAAGTTCGTTTTAAGAAGCGACTGAGACTTACGTTTGGGAGAGGAGTTTTTTTTCATCGCCGGATGGAGATGATGATCGATTTTTATTTTCCAACGCCATAGATCATCTTTGCCTCTTTTTTACAGTGGCAATGGCATGGAGTGCCCCAAAGTGGTTGATCAGCAGTGGTGGAGGATATGGCGGGGTGATGGCGGCGGCTCTACTATTGTGGTGAAGAGATCATGGATAGGTCGAGCTGAAAAAGACAAAAATATGATAGAAAATAGGAGGGTAGAGCAAAACAATTGAAGGGTACAATAGTAATTTTATGTGTCAAAACCCTACATTCGGATATATTAGTAATAATATGTATAAGAGCATTAATTAGATAGGTAAAGGGATACGAGGAGGTGTGGTTTTTTTTCATTTCATTCAGGCCTATATTTATACACAAGAAAACCTTAGTACGAAGGAAAATAAAAGTATACAAATGACTACGTTGTTCCTTTGTGTATGCAATGTGTATAATACTTCCCTTGGATGTTATTTTATAAGAATGTGTTTCATTAAAATCTTATTAGAAAAAAAATTTGTCGAAAAAAAATATCTAGTAAAGGAAAAATAGTATAATATTTATATATTAATTTGTTCTCCCTGATCTGAACATTATTTGAGATCTCTTAACTGACGCATCCCAATTTTCTTTACCAATTTTTCAGAAGTTGCAGTCGGAAATACCTTGGTTAATATATCCTCTAAATTATTATCTGATCGAATTTGTTGAACATCAATTTTACCATTCTATTGAAGATCATGAGTTAAAAAAAATTTTGGTAAAATATATTTCGTTCTATTTTATTTAATGTAACCCTCTTTCAATTGGGTTATATAAGACGTATTATCTTCATATAATGTAGTCGGAAGAATTTTATAATAAGATATTAACCCATAATTTTTATAATATGTTGAGTCATTGATCTCAACCAAACACATTCTCAACTCGCTTCATGTATTATCAATATTTCAACATGATTTGAAAAGGTGGTAGTTAAAGTTTGTTTCATTGATCTCCAAGAGATCACAGTTTTGTTACAAATAAATATCTAGTCAGTTTGTGACTTAACTTTATGAGGACCAAATAAATATCATGCATCGGAAAAATTAATCAATTCGTGTCGAAAATCTTTCGAGTAAAATAACTTGTGATCAATTGTTCCTTGAATATAGCAAAAAATGTGTTTAATCTCATTCCAATGTCGTCGAGTAGGCGATGAGCTAAATCTTGTCAATATATTTACAGAAAATGATATGTCAGGTTGGGTGTTGTTAAAAGATACATCGATGCACCTATAGCACTCAAATATGGCACTTCAGGATCAAGTCTTTCTTCGTTTTCCTCATTTGGTCTAAATGGATCCTTTAACGGATTGAGTGCTCTGATGATCATTGGGGTATTTAGTGGATGTGATTTATTCATAAAAAACTGTTTCATTACTCTTTTGGTATAATTTGATTGGTGGACAAAAATTACACTTTCCAAATGCTCAATTTGAATATCAAGGAAAATTTTGGTTTTTCTAAAATCTTTGATTTCAAATTCATTTTTCAAATATTTAACACCTTTCTAGATTTCATTAAGAGTTCCAATTAAATTAAGATCATTGATATATACAACGATGATTTTGAATCCTGAATCATTTTTCTTTACGAAGACTCATGAACACATATGGTCATTTATGTAACCTCTTTTGTTAAGCTTTCGCTGAAGTAATTGTACCACATTCGGCCTGATTGCTTGAGCCCATACAAAAATATTTGCAATTTGATGGAATATGATTCTTTTGACTTTGATTTGAATGATTCGGGTATGTTAAACTCTTCTGAAATTCTCATATATACATCATTGTCTAAGGAGTCGTAAAAATAGGTAGTAACTACATCCATTAATCGCATATCAAAATTTTTGCGTACTTTCATGCTCACTAAATACCTGAATATTATTCCATCGATAACTAGTGAATATGTTTATTCAAAATCAATGTCTGGTCACTGGAAAAAACCCCGGGCTACAAATCTTGCTTTATATCTTGTAATTGCATTATTTTATTTTATTTTATTCTCACAAACACTCATTGCTAAACAACATGTTTCACATTTTCAGATGTTTAGACTATAAGGCTGAATACTTATTGTTTATTCAATGAGTCCAATTCAGATGCGTCTTTCCATTTTGTCTAGTCATCTCTTTTCCGATATTCATCTAACTTATTTTGTTTCATAATCCCCGTAATCTTTTATAATATCGAGTGCTACAAAATATGCAAATTCATTATTAATATTTGTTTTCTTTTAATTCTAATAATTTCCCCTTGTGGTATAGTTCAAAAAAGTTTCAATAACTTCATCCTCACTCTCATAAAAAATTTTAGTATCAACTTCTTTAGTGATTGTACTGACCTTTTTAGATATCTTATCATTATTGATCTATTCACCAATATTTATAATTTTCTTCTTTTATGAATTTTTATCCTTGAAACCTAACGATCATTTTGAAGAGGTGTGGTTTTTTTTTTTTTTTTTTCACTTCTTTCAAAACTATATTCATACACAAAAAAAAAAAAACATCAAAATACAAAGGAAAATAAAAACATATAAATGACTATAGTATGTCTTCGTGTATGCAATGTGTATAATAATATATATATATATAATATGTTGAGATAACACCTTAAAACCTATAGGGTACAAATTCTTCAATCATTTTTTAAATTCAAATCCTATCAATTCATACCCAAACATACTAAAATATTAGTTAGTATTTTATAATAAAATATTTTTGCCCCTAACTTTGCTTATGGTATTAAATACAACTACTTTGCTCTCAAACACTTTTTAATATTTTTCGTTTAATTTATCTTAAAAAATTTGCAATATTTCTAAAATAAAAAATAATTAAATATATTTAATCTGTATACCACACTTTATCTTATTACTTAAAAAAATATATATATATACTTCTCCATCACTTTATCTAATTCTCAAATTATTTTATTTAATAATATTCACCTGACTTCTCATATAAAAAACAAATATTGCACTATATTTGGACATAGAGAGTATCATTCAACATCGTGCAAATAGTTCGTAAAATTTAGAAAAACATAATATAAAATATAAATTAATAATAAAAAAATATTAATATAACACAAATACAATATGCAAAGTAACAATAATCAACACATCATATATTATTGTTAATCTCAACACAAAATATATTTTCATATATCACACTTTTAAACTATCATTCGCATAGTAAAAATCTACATAGCACGTGTTCTAGTAAACAAAGACTTATACTGAGATGTCCCGTAAGGGATGACTTGATGGTGTGAGGGTGAACTCGTGACCGTGAGGTCATGGTTCAAATCCATGACACCTCCAGGTCCACCTGCTACATATGATTCCCAGTGTGACTTGCCTTGTCAGGCCTAATTTGCATAGTATTAGGTCTCTACGAGTAATGGCTAGTGTGACTTGTCTTGTTGAGTCTAATTTGCAAGGTATTGGTTCGACCGAGGATTTACCATTCGACGAACAACAACTTCGAATTTTCACGTTATCGAAAAAAAATACTAATATTTTATATTTTATGTATTGATTAGAATTATCAACTTCAATATATACATGCTCATATAAAAGAAATCTTTAAGAAAAATAAATAAAAATATTTTGCTCTTATTAAATTAAGATATCTCATATACTCCCTCTGTTCTATAAAAAGTGTAAAGGTTGCTGTAGATACGGAATGTAGGTAAAGTATAATTAGCAAGTAATTAAAATATGTATTATTAAAAACATTTATTGTATAATAAAAATAAGTATCAATTAAGATTAACATAACTAAATAGTTTAATTAAAATTTTTAAAAAAAATTATAAATTGTAAAATTTAAAAATGTGATTAAAGTGTATAATTATATTTCCAAAACTGTTTAGGACGGATAAAAATAAAAAAATAAACTATTTATATAAATTTAGCATTCCAAAATTTATGCATTCTTTTATTATTTGTTAGTATAATATAAGGCAACGCTTTTGGCGTTGATTTGATAAGTTAGCAAACTAATGTGAAATAATTAGTAAATTATTACCTGGTTAATAGAATTTTAACTTGAAATAATTTTCAGATAACGTATGTTGTGTTATATTTAAATATGCATTGTGTGGGTTATATTTCATACTGAAATTGATATATATATATTATACAATATGCAATTATATAATTGGTTATACTCTTTTCGTCCCATCACAAATAACCCTTTTTTCTTTTTTGCTCATTCCATAAAAGATGATTTATTTATATTTTTAGTAAATTTATTAATTTTAAACACACTTAACAAATATAAATTAATTTAATTAAATTTCTAATCTTTCACGTAGGATCCACTTAAAATTATATTATTTTTATTTTTTTCTCAATGAACAAATATTTTTGTCTATATCTAATTATATAATTTGCTATTAAAATATTTGTTATATACTCTGTCACACCTTATTTGTTCACTATTTCTACTTTTTTTTTTGTTCACCTTATTTGTTCTTTCCTATTTTTAGAAAAATATTTATACACTTTAATCATATTTTAAATTTTATAATCAATAATTTTTTAATTAAAATTAATTAGTTAGATTAATATTAATTTATAATTATTTATATTATATAATAATTATTTTTACTAACATATTTTTTAATTATTTACTAATTATATCTTACATAAATTAAGTATGTATAGTAAATCGGACACCAAATGCGGCGCGAATAGAGTATTATATTTTTTTGATCGTGTCAAATAAGCATCATGCTGAAATCAGAATCATATTTTACTATATATAATTATATAATTTGCTACTCCCTTCGTCCTATTGAAAGGTTTTTATTTTTCATTTTCGTTTATCCCAAAACAAGGTTACTATTTTCTAATTTAGTAATTGTACTACCTACCTAACATAATAAATATCTTTTCAACTTACAATATATTATACAAATATCATTACTTTTATATTACACAATACTAATAGGGGAAATGTTTGTCTTTTTTATTACAATACAATAAAATACTAATATTTAAATATCTACGTATAAAAAGTAAACAAAAATCTTTGAATGAGACAAATGGAATATAAAAATATTTGATATATATATTAACATATGTTAAACATTCGTTGATTGTGGCAAATAAGCACAATACTGAAATCAAAATCATATTATGCTAT